AGCTGATTAAATATTTGGATATGGGATTACTTTTTAAGTAATGTACATAGTACTCTTGGGCTTTTGATTTTTTTTCAAAACAATTGTAACCACACATACTAATTTTTCATTCAAATCATCAACCTGGACAGTTTCCTTTCCACGAGATTAAACGTTTTTTTTTTGTCATTCTGTCATATACATTTTTTCTTTTTTTAAAGGAACCCGATTTGGACCATTTTCTTATCTCTTTTCCATTTAACTCTTTAAAATCGTATGCAGCCCTGTTCCACGTCCAAGTTCCAATTTAAGAATATGCTCATATAGCAGAAGATAACATATGCAAATATGTATGCATCAGACAGTTGAGTAACCTACTTTAAGTCTCTAGAGTCAATGCATATCTCAAATTAAAAAAAATCCTAGTTCAACTCTAGGCATATGGTCGCAATCACACAGTGTTGTGGTTTAAAACTGTAAACAAAGTGGACAGAGTGCATTATCAACCCTGCAGAATTAGTCTAGAGAAAAGTCTGAATGACCCTGGATTTACTACAGGAACACTTCAAAGCCTAACATTTCCAACCGGAACATTATCCCGCTGGTGCACTACTACAGTGAACATCCATGAAAACTGACCTCATAATTGCGGCAGTCGAGCCTGCTGTGGGAATTAGGAATGCTGCCATGTGACTGGTCAGATAAGGCTGGAGGCTGGATAATTCCACCGCCTGTGTGTGTGTGTGTATCTGTGGTCACATGTGATCAGAGTGGAAATGGCAATCAGCTTGAGGAATGCAAACCACCTCACAAGGAGCTGATATAAAAAAAAGAATCAATTTAGACAATAGAATAGGGAACATGTGTCACGGTTTGATTAAACAGTGTAAAATAGTATGACATTTTATTTGTATAGCCCCCACATTTGTCTCAGGGGGCTTTATAATCTCTATAACCTAAAATGTCATCTTCTGTCCTTAGACCCTTGCAGCAGACAAGGAAAAACACCCCAAAAGAAACCCCACAAATAGTGATGGAATTGTGAAAAATCCTGGTAGAAAATAAGTTACAGAACTTAATCATTTACATATTCATGCAAAAGACAGATCTATTTAACTTCCGTGTAGATCCCTGGTTAAAACATGGTCATGTCCTGGATGGATGTGTAACAACCTCTCATAGCCTGGAATACATGCAAAGTTAAGCTAAGCCAGGGAGCAAAGTGCAAGAAAAAGGCCATCAGGAAAGAGATTCATGTGCTTCCTGATACATTCTCAGCTACATCACAAGTACACTAACACTCAGAATGTGTATCAGTTATAGAACAGCTTTACCCAGCTTTGTGCTTTGCTTGTTAAATCTAGATGTAATCTTCCATATACTAGATCTGACAGCAAATTATTTTAGAAAGCCAACTATGATTCCATGTTGCTGTATCTGGCCTACAAGTCTAGAAAACCCCTACCCTGTGTTTATCATAAATCAATTAATGGCTCGCACAGTTCACGAATAAACACCAACAGGCTAATTGCTAAAGGAGTAAATGCAGCAGCAGCAGCAACGTAAACCGTTTGTTGTTCCGCCAAACGCCCTAATTGCATAGCTAGCATACAGTTACTTTAGCAACCTGACAGTCCTCTAGCACAAACACTGACGATTAACGTTGACCATACCACATGGCTAGGCTTAAAAATCCGCAAGAATAAAAGCTAAATCAAACAGTCTAGAGGCATTTCCCTCTGGGTCTAGCTGTAAACGTTAGCAACCCAACTGTCTAGCTATTAAGCTAGTAGCAGTAAATACATACTCAACGTTAGCTATATATGGTGGTAAAAGCTAGGCTATATGGCACACTGTAGTGTCAGCCAAAACGTTAGCAAACATTCAAAGCTGTCTTCACAACTGTTTTGCCAAATACTGTGTCAAGCCAGCCCATCCCTCCTCGTTAGCCAACATTAGCCCCATAACCAACGCTTTGCTATGGAGAGAGTCACACCAAGCCTCGTCTAAACATCTGTACTTTTAACGTGACCTTGCTTATAAATAAGATACGCGTGTCTTTAAACACCAGTCAGACATAATTCCATATTTCTAAGAAGAATAACCCAGTTCGGGAGGGACAAAATCCGTACAACGACGTTTAGCTCAGAATTATGTATGCTTTGATTACAAGGAAACGCTGACCAACTGCCTCCCGACGTTGTGTATTTTGGAGGAATACGACTGTAGAACATATTGGCTTAGCTGTTGTTAAACCTAACATACATTAGATTCAGTGATATATTGATATGCCGAAATGACTTAGGGATCCAAGCGGTTCCGTAGAGACCCTTTGTTATTTCTTGACAGGTGTCTACCTTATCCAATAACCAGGGCCACTTAAACGCTAGACTTTAATAGGAGGTCTGGTCCTCTTGTGTACAGGACTAGCCTCAGAGCTGACAGTTAGCTTAGCTAGCGCCACTGAGGTAGATTTAGCCCGTTGCTTTTCGGCTTACCTCTCTTGACGGCCTCGTCATACGACAGGAATCCTATCCTTGACTCTTTGGCCCCCATGCTCCCCTCATTTCATTGCGATGTTGGGGAAATAAACGTTGTTCGCTGAGTTGATCAAAATTGTCGCCTTATCCGTTTATTGTGAAATGGGTTCCTGTTGGTGTGTGTATGTGGTGAACGGGTGAATGTTTTCAGCGACGCCTCCATTCTGTCACATGACCACACTCCACAGGTCAGTTGATCAGAATCCTTAGGACGCATAGAAAAACAATCAACCGACATGTCAGAAAGAAAGGTTTTGTTTTTTTACATCAATAACTTCAGTGTTTAATTCCCGAAAATTGCCGTTTGAGTCATTATGCCCAGTCATATCAGGCTGTCAATACGCGTGCATGTCTGTGGAGTGTTGTAAACAAATGCGAATAGCACCACCTTGTGGCTAGCCTGCTGATGTGCGCCAGCTTAGTCTGGTTTACAACCACAGTGACCTCCATTGGCACCACATAGGACCTGAAACTAGGGTCATAGGGTCATACAACTCAATGTTTACGATATATATTTTTTTGTTTTGGTTTATTTGTGACTTTAAATGGCACATGCCCAACTTACCAAAGACAACTTTTGACATGTTCAAGTGTTACATTGTTAGCTAAGTCTTCAATTTGATTTCACCAAAGTTCAAAATGAATCCCTACATTTCAAAAAAGTAAATATAGTTCTGTTGTCAACGTCATTACCCCATTTTAGATTGGAGTTTGGCGTGATTATGCTTTGTGCACTTTGACAGCGTCCTACGTCATGCTGTCAGTCACTGTAGTCTAGCCAGCCGTCACTTCGACAGACAGACAAACTGGCTCAGCTCTGTTTTGCGGTTCGTGTTTTTAGTAGGCTTTACGGTAAATACAGTACATGTATGACTTCAAAATAAAAGCTAGTTCCTGTGTCATGCAATTTCACATGCATTCAAAATGTCAGTTTGCATAGATAAAACTGAATGCCCAAATATCAATAACTAAAAATGTTAATTGATTATACTCCTGTCAAAATACTGTATTTCTGAGAAAAAATGAATTCTAAATTGGGTGGATAATAAGTCAAATTTAGTAATAAGGAATACATTTTCCAAAGACAAATCTGACTTCACTGAGTAAATGTCACAGCATTCTTTTGTGGGAATTCGAAATTGAAGCCCTTCAAAATGCATTTTTAAAGAAACATTCAAGACATTTTCAGATTAAAATTAATAAATAAACAGCATGTTGCCATGCAGGGTCAGATTTCCCTTTGGGTTGATGGCCGACCACACCAGAGTGTCCCAAAGTCAATGTCAGGACACATAGATGTTTGATTTTAAAATTAAAGCCATTCAAAATCATATTAAGTAATAATTTAACTCGTTTTCAGATTAGTATCAAAAGAAAACTGCCAGAATATTATAATATTGACATTCAGTAATAATGTAAGGCTGTCTGTAAGCAATCTGAAGTGAAATCAGTCCCTGACCGGCCATTTACTTTTAATTTGTTACTAATTATGAGTGAAAATCTTGCTTAAAAAACAAAGATTTGCTCAGAGAATCCGAGAATGTCCTGATATTCTCCTAGTGACACTATACTAACTGAGTGAGTATATGTACTGTCATTTTAAGTCCTACTGGTCTCTAGAAATGTATTCTTTATAATTTAAGTTTGACTTCTTATTTACCTAATTTGTATTACTTACTGATTTTACATATATCTTTCATATTAAATCATTGTATTAAATTTGTATTTATTCTATGTAAGGTATTATTGTTATTAATCTTGCTTTTTCTATTGACGACTACCCTGCATAATTTAATAAAGGCAGAGGTGGAAGAAGTAGGCCTACTTATTTATTGTACTTAAGTAAAAGTAGAAGTACCAGAATGTAGGAATATTATGTTACAAGTAAAATTCCTGCAAATAAAATGTTACTCAATTAAAAGTACAAAAGTACTGGCATCTAAATGTAATTAAAGTACAAAAAGTAAAAGTACTCTTTATGCAGATTGGCCCATTTAGAATAATATATCATATGTTTTGATTATAATTATTGATGCATTAAAGTGTTATCAAAGCTGGTAAAGGTGCAGCTATAGTTTTTATTATGTTATAGTTATATTACTGCACGGTAGCTTGTGAATTTACTCCAAGTGTAACTGAAGTCTAATTTAAGTGTTGATTATATTTCACATAATTAATCCAAATCTGCAAAGTAACTTAAGGTATTATATAAATGTAATGGAGTAAAAGTACACGAATAACCTCTGAATTGTAGTGGAGTAGAAGTATAAAGTAGCAAAAAATGGAAATACTCAAGAAAGTACAAGTAACTCAAAATTGTACTTAAGTACAGTACTTGAGAAAAGTACTTAGTTACTCTAAACCACTGAATACATGTGAAATGGTTCTCATTTTCAAAATATTACAATTACCGGAACCCAGCTTTTATTTTGAAGTCACTTCGTCCATGCTCTTACCGTAATGGCTCCTAAAAACACGAGCTTCAAAACAACGTCGGGGCAAGTTTGACTGTTTTGAAGTGAAGGCTAGCTTGACTGCTGTACCCAGTCCTAGAAGGAGTGAGCAACATGAAGGCGTAGACAGCACATCCCATTTAAAGGTGCAATAGCTGACCTGCCAAGCTCTTAACCATACGGTGATAAAAACATAAATATGTCAATGGCTGTTATACTAATGCGCGTGTGTGTTTGTGGCGCACGTCAGTTTACAAGGCAGGTTGCGTCACCTTTTTCCGGGATTAAGCACCGCTCTACCTCTCATAACTGAAAGGAGATGGGACTTCAAATCCTGCTGTACTGGCCAAATATTATTGGTGAGACACATTCGGTTGAATTTGAATTAATTTAGTTTTGTATTAGATTTAAATTCGTGGGCGTCGCTTCACTGAGGCGCGTGATAACAACTGCTAACCCAGGTAACTAGTTCACAGGCTAAAAACACATCAGCCAGAACCTAGAATAACCTAATAAACACATACAGTATCTAGTAAATAAGATGAATGTCACTAAACTGTGATTTTAGGCGGTACTATTACGCTGAAAGATGTTACTGTGATGATATAACCTAATAACCAGAAACAGGTTCATGGCCAAGTATGTGTACACATGCAAGGAATTAGCTTTAGTGTAAAATATTGCAAACATAAACACAGTAATGAAAATTAAGTTCATTTAAAAAATACAACCAATTGAACTACATTCGACAAATATATAATTGAAAAATAGAATATGTACTGTGTTGAAAGTGGAGAGCTGTGCAGTTTTAAAAGAGGTAGCATTGACAGGAATGTGCAAGATATACTGATCTTGGCTAATGTTATTACAAGTGCCATGTGTATTTCTCTGAATTCAATGAATCCAATCATCTGGCTGTTGTAATGGGTTCTGTTTTTTGTATTTGATCTCTTTCAGGATACTTCAGGATTGGCCTTGTGTTTGCTGCCTGGGCTGCCCATGAGACACCTGCAACCTTTGTGTTACTTTATTCAATCTTCATAGCACTCGATGGTAAAGTATATATTAAATATAGTAATATAAAAGCTTTAAATTATGCCTCTGGATAATATTTTAGACCACTTCATACTGCTCTATTATTGACTCTACACATTCCAGCAGATGACCAATGTAACCACAGGTGTATCTAATAACATATACTCACATGGCCAGATCTATCTCCATGGAGAATGCCTGAATTCTTTTGAGCGTATGTGTGGGTAAGACACACGGGGTTAGATTACACCTTTGCTTTGCCTTCATTAACAACTCAAAACAAGGTATATAGGCCTTTATCACAGAAAAAAAAAAAAGCCACAAAAAGTAATTGTTACAAGGAGTTCAGGTTTAGGCTTGGCTTTTTTTCTTCAAAATAAAAGACCAAGTAAAGAACAATACAGCTACTAATATGAATTCCTACTTAGCGATGGAAATATTAATAATGGGACGCCCACTCGTCATACAAGCAACAGTTTTTTGGCTTGAGCGTTATGTGTGTCCTCTGTGCAGGAGTGGACGGCTGGCTGGCCCGGAGGCTGGGGCAGTGCTCCAGGTTTGGAGCCTGGCTGGACGTAGTGGTGGATAACCTGGGCCGAGGCCTGCTGTGGAGCCTGCTGTTTAAGGTCTGTTAGCTGCTGAACATTACAACACATACAAAACACACACATTCACACTGTGAGGTGCTCACATTACGCTGCAATGTTACTATATGACTATCATATAGGATTTTCTTTTTTTTTAAATGAGCCTCTCTTTTAAATATGCAGTTTCACACTTGCAATTGCATAGGCATACAGTGTCTTTGGTACAAAGTAGTGCTGTAGTATGTGATAAAATGTAATCATCAGGGTTCATAAGTAACGGTTATATGTATTTAGGATTACATTACCAGATTACAAAACGGATCTTTAATTAATTGTGTGTCTGGTTACATTGTCAGGGATTACTTGATTACCTTTTAGTTTAAGTCTCTAAAATATGGCGGTTATAAATAATTCATAATATAAACGTGAAAAGTGCATCAGACAGACAGGGTTTTCTTGGATATTGTGAAAAATAATGGTATTGTGTTCAGATGGAAAAGAAAAGGAAGAATTGTTTTTTAGTAATTGCAAAAGGTTTAAAGTTTGATTGTGAAGTATCCCAAAAATATCGAGATAAGATTAGATGAAACACTCACAATCACTCACTGTACCATATTTTAAGAGGTGTTTTATTGTCTGCTGTTATTCTGTACTGTATTGCAGTGGGCGTGGCTAGTGTCTGCTGTGGAGTGGTGTGTGTTTGTGTGTAACCACAGTGCCAGAGGGGACCAGTGGAAGAACAGTTTCATCAGCAGCCCTCGACTCATACAAGCCATCATGGCAAACGGTAAAAGACGGTCACTGTAAATGAGTTGATGTACCGCAGCTGAAGACACAGTAAGTCAATGTGAATTATTCTGTGTATCTGTCAGGGTTTCGGACCCCTCTTGGCACATGGGTGGTGAGTGGGCTGCACTGCCTCCCCCTGTGGCTGTATGGGTATCAGACGGGTTTACTCTCCCACTGGCTGCTCCTCCCTCCCTGGATCCAGGCTCTGGGGGCCCTGCTGCTGGCTGCAGGACGCCTGCTGGCTCTATCAGCGGAGGTACAATTAACCTCCAATTATCATAAACATGTTATCCCTCCTGTCGTCTTCGTTTCTCCCCCCTTACTTTGGTTTTCCTGGTCCAATGTGACCAGTCTGTTTGAACTGCTCTTATATTAACACAAACACCATTAAAGGTGGGGTAGGTAAGTTTGAGAAACCGGCTCGAGATACACTTTTTGTTATATTCCATGGAATGCTCTTAACATCCCGATAGCAATGAATATCTTAAGTGCTTTGACAAAGAATCCATAAAAAAATGTCATCTGTGGAAGCCGTAGTACTGTAAAAAGCACGACCAATCATTTTAGCCGGCTCGGCTAAAATAATTGGATGGCCTACCTGCCTGTCAGCCTTCCATCTGTGCACAAACTTATCTCGTGACCTGATTGGTCATGTGCGCGTTCGTGTGTGTTGGAGGAGGGGCTCTGTAAGGAAGTGGCAGATTTTTTCCGGCTGTGTATTTTCAAATTCTAGCGATCTCGAGCTGGTTTCTCAAATTTACCTACCCCACCTTTAATCATCACCAACTTTTATTAAACCCATATTTAAGCTGTAAACAATGTCTCAGACTACTGGCACATGAATAACTGCAGTGAATATACAAAAAATAGTATGTATTCCAAAATGAACATGATTAGTGGGTGTGTCCTATCTGATGGAAGAACATCATCATAGGGTTACCCATTCATTTCCTATGGCGGTCACTTTTGACCGGGAACATCATAGTTGTAACAAAGTTGACTAAACCACTCAAAATTCAATGTGAAAGTGATCAAAGTGATGATTAGCAGTGTTATATATCAAATGCTTACTGTGGAGCATACCGTAAGGCCTTCAGGAAATCAAATGTAAAACACAATATTTATCATTGATGAAAGTAAATCAGTCAGATTTGACACAAACACACAGGAGGGTTAACTAAAGTTGAACTTGTATTAAAATAATTCCTGCTTGAATTTCATGTTTCATTTGTTCATGTTTTTGTTTTGCAATATCCCTACCGCTCTTAAATCTGCACAGCAACGTTAAAATATAATATACTGCAGTCTGTCATATATTCATTGTACATTCAAGTACATGTTTTTTCCCGTAATATTTGATATATATTGATATATATATATATTTATATATATGATATATACATATTTGGTGTAAATAGTTGTCTATTCTCTTTTATATTACATTTGTTTTTTAATTAAAAAAACCTCTGTCTCTCTGCAGATCTGGTGTATTTGGACACACATTGAACACCTCACGGAGGACGAGCCGGAACAGAAAAGGGAATGAAAGCTACTCCTATCATCCTATACTGTCACATCTAAGCTGGAATAATGCTGATTTGATTCCATTATCTGTATATGAACCTGGCCTCAGGTCACATTTATCTCCACAGGAAAACACTTTCAGTTATAGCTGAGAGAGAATGTGGAAAATGAAAGATATTTTTATATTTATCGACGAATGACTGTGATTTGCTCCCAACCTCTTTGCTGCTCATTTCTGTCTAGCTTTACTGCTCAAACACATTTCAGTACCAAAGAATACAAAAGAATGCATGAATAATCCAGACTCCGTAGATCCCGTCAGAAATAAAAAGCTAAAAATGCTCTTCCCTTGAATGAAAATAAATGAGGAATTTAAAAAGATGATTTAGTAAGGCAGACTTGGAATTTTAGATGAACAATGTCTCCGTTGCTTCTTTCAAAGGTAGTCATAAACCCAGAATCCTCTCACAAACCATACACTGGGATTTGTCCTACTCTTAAAGACACCCTTTCTGGATACCTTCGTTTTTTCTAACCCATCTCTAAACTGCCAGTTTCACCCAATATTTAAGAAGATGTCTCCACTCATTAGGTTGAAAAAACATCTCCTTTTTTTAAATATATTGTCACTTTTCCTTATGCCTCTTCCTTTAAATGGTAGTGTCAGGGCCTAAGATAATCCAAATATATAAGGAAACATGAGTAACTCTCCCAGATCCAAAACAAAGAGTGCTAAAACTAGAATGTGTGTTGAAGTGCTCTATAAACAGGGAATTAGGGAATACATTCTTGATGACACTGAGAGCACCCATGGGAACGTGTTCTGAGTATGTGGCTACATTCTCTGTTTCAAAACACTTCAATAGGATAAAGTTAATTTACAAAGAGAAAACAAATATTCTGTTGGTCCCACATTATTCTCCTATTCGTTGTCTAAGGGGAAGTTCCAGATGTAATACTTAACATCACATTTCTGACACTTCTATGTTTTTTTTAAAAGAGTACTTCATGTTCACAATTATTGTTTCAACGTCCAAATGGAAAGCAGACATTGGAATTCTTAATTTAAGGGGTGTATAAATGACATTATTGTTGTCACTATTTAATCTTGTTATATTTTTGGAAAGCACCTTGTTACCTTTTTTTGAAAGTTGCTATTTATATAAAGACCCTGTAAATGCTACGTTTCTTCACATTTATATGTTGTTTTGTTTTGTTTTGTAGTAATATTTTACAGAAAATATGTTTTCATTTCACAAGATTTTAATCCTGTAAACAATGTATTTTATATACATCACAGTTAGACCAAACACACTGAACACTTCAAACAATTTCCCAATATAGGATCAATAAGGCATCAATAATTGACTGTTCAAACATAAATAAGCCAGAGTTTGTTGGGTACACCACTACAGTCTAAAATATTGCATAAGCTAGGATCAACATTTATTATAATTTAAACTAAGAGGCCCAAACCTTAAAAAGTCTTCAGACCATAAATGCACAAGAATGTGTCTGCATCCTTTTAGCTGTAGAGTAAATACATTTTGAATAAGTAATAATTGAGGTTGATAAAGAATAAGGCTGCTAGATTGATCTCTATGGATCCATTAATCAGGAAATGAAATGAAATTGATTGGCTGTGATATAAGCTATACAAATTATATATATATATATTCTTTAAAAATATTTTCTGCCTTTATCGAAGTGACAGGGAGAATGACAGAGGGGATAAAACGCAGCAAACCATGCGGGTTTCGAACCTGGATCCTCAGCAGTTGTAACATACAATCTTCAACCTAAAGCTCACCTATTATGCTATATTTGATCAATATATTATAGGGCCATGTCTATTCGAAACATGTCTCTGAAGTGTTTTGCTCAAAATACCAAACAGATCACCTAGTGTAGCATGCCTCATACCCCTCTATTTCAGCCCTGTTACAAAAGTGCTGATTCTGGGTCTGGCCCTTTAAATGTAAATGAGCTAGCTTGAAATTATCTTTCTTCAGTGTTTACCGCTACAACAGTGCCATTGTATATATGATATATATAACAACTTTACTCTAAGTCCCTCCCGTAGACATCCTGCTGAATACACGGACACACAGCTGCGGGGGGATTCAGCTAGCCGACTGTATATGGGGACGATAGGTTGGGATCTGGGCGGAACATTGCCAGGAGGTCAATGTAAAGCCAGCCCACATTTTAGTAATGACGTCAAGTTCTCAGCAAATCTGGATCAGCTCCGTTGTACCCCCGTTTTTAGAGATGTGGGTAAGGAGTAAAAGAGAGAGGGTTGTATTTTCTGACACTTTGTGAGTCTCCTTACACACCTGGGACACATATTTATGTATAAAAGACATCAAAAAGTGCATTTTGCATAATAGGTGACCTTTAAATATGTACGACATGTGTTCGGCCATGTTTTATTTCACCGGGATGTGATTGATTTTTAGTTTAATGTGTGAAGACAAGAACAAAATGCATGTGGCTTTTGTGATCAATGATATACGTTTTAATGTGTTTGCAGCTAACAGTGAAGCAGTAACAAGACAACAGTGAAACATTTGGTGTCAATCATCTGGACTGGTAGAGAGAAACAGGCTTGTTGGAGATATCACAGCTTTATTGAACATCTTCAACTTTGTCCATATTTCCCAGCAAGCTCACGCCCTCTCACCCTCTCACCCTCTGCAGCACTGAAACCATGGTTTTCCCTTTCAGTTGTCAGCAGATCATAATGACTCGTAGGTATTGTCAATCTTACATTCTAACAGACAGCTGGGTTATTGACACTTCAACACTGTTTAAAATAACATTCTGTGTCCATTTTCTTCATTTTTCTTGGCCAGACAGAACATATAACAACATTGTGAGAGTTCAGCCTGAATTTGGACAGAAAATGCTTTGTGTAAAAATCACTTTTATGGTAGGTACAGGAAAAGAAAACACAAAAAATGTCTTGCAAATAGCTCCAAATAAGTAGCCCTAATAGACCAGAATGCAATTCAAAAGGTCGGCATGTGACCTTTGATGAAATGTAGTCAGTGTAGGTATACAGAAGAACAAAATGAACCCTGGGAAGGAAAGAAATGTAGTATTAAGGGAAGTTTTCCATTATATTTTGTAATTAATTACTAGAAGATATGTATTGACCATTTGTCACTGGAATAATACATTTTTTGCCGAATGTAAATCTGTGTTACGAACTGCTTGGAAATACCGACTGCAGGTAACATTCATCACCACCTCTGCCCTGGAAAAAGGTTCTCGGCCCCCCAGAGGGTTAAGGGTGCGCTTGTTGAAGCCGAAGCATCGAGAGTGTAGCTGAGCGTCCTTTAAGGGGGGGGGGGCTAAGGCTGGACCTCCTCAGCTAGAGCCCTCACATCACTGCTAGAGAGGGAGACATCCGACAGCACTGAAGCAACAGCAAGGCAAAGCTCCTTTTCTTCATTCATTTGAAACCAAAACACTGGGGTTCCTATCGAAGGCATCACATTTTCAGCAATGTTGCAGCGGAAATTCATTTTAAAGCTGGAAATGTTTCACATTTTCCATCGGTGGCAAAATCTCATCAGTTCGCCACAGAGCTATGCTTGTCCCACAACTATAAATATTCACTCAGCACATCTTTAAAGGGTCAGTTCACCTCATGAGAATATTCCTTCCTTACCTTTAACGGTATTTAGGCATGCAGAAAGTGATTCCTATCTTTAAAATGTCTGCCTCCAACCCGACAGAATCATGACATAAACAGTAACTTTTCCTTCAATGTGTCCCTACTCTTTGAGTTGTCGTAGGGTCTATTTCTTTTGTTTCCAGTCAAATTAGCAATGATTTGACTGAGCGGCAGTGCTACATTTGCAAATTGATTACTATCATAGGGAGAAGACAAAAATTAAAATATGTTCAACCTGGTAAATGACTGTACCTTTTCATACCTAAAATAAAACTACGATTTAATTACTCATAACTTCTGAGGTTGCAAAGTTGACATCGTACTTTGAGGCACAATAATGACCATGTTGGTATTTTGGCAAATAATAGCTAAATACAGATTTATATTTATTGACCAATAAGTCACAAAATTGTCAGAGAAATGCTACGTTTCAGACCATTCGGGCACAAATTTGACATCCAAAAGCTGCTTTCTTTTACACTGTCAAGTTCACATTCGGTTCAATATCCTTACAGCTGGTAATTTTTTGACTTTTTGTTTTTGTTGTGTGTTTATGTTAACACAATAAATATTTAAGGATGTAGATTCAATATTGGTACCATCTTTAAAATAAAATGTGTTTTGGCTATGGTCAAAAGCAAATACTGTTGGGAAGCCCTGCGATAGATGCAAGTGAACATTTTAAGGTCATTTGAGTGACCGGATTCTTTAAAAGTGCTGTATCAGAGATCAAACTGCAAGACAAATGTTCAAAATGATGAGGTTTTAGTTGTGTTTAGGGTCATTATTTCCAATTGGTTCATTCTTATTGAAAACCACCCCCCTAGCAAGCTCTGAAGTAACAACTGATGAGAATTTGGACATAAACAGTCAGTATGGTGAGAGCTGATGGAAAACACATTCCAGTCAAAATAAATCTGGAATTTGCATTCATTGGGTATAAGCCAGGAAGGAGTGGAGAGGAGAGGCCAGATGCACAGGCTCGCAACACACACACACTTACACACATTCGCACAAATACACAATATTGGTCCCCATTGTTAGTGCCCTTAAGGGTATAGTCGTTTATTTAGCACTTAGATGTATGGGTCCGTCTACAGACAGATAACTGCAAGCTGGTGTAAGGCTGGTAATCATCAGTGGAGCACTTTAGGGCAGCCAGAGTTCTACCTGTGTATCACACACACACTCACTCATACTTGAGCAAATAAAGGGAGGCATAGACCTCTGTACATGTAGCATCTTCCTCTTTTCACTCCTGTCCCTTGTTTTAACGTAGTAGTGTTGAGCTGTTTCTTTGAAAAGCATACACAAAGGGCTACATAAACATACCATTTTGTATATAAATTGTAGGCATTTTAATTATTTTCAGTACTAAGCTGGAAAAAAAAAGATAAAATATATTGAAACAAGAACTGTGGTCTTTTATGTGTAACAATATACTAACAGGTTGAACACATTCCACTGTTTGTAATCTCTCTCCAACAAGCAGTTCACAACACGAGTTCCTAAGGGGCCACTTTCATTTTTTTTTTTGCAAAAAAAACAAAAAACAAGTGTACAATCTGCTGTATTATTTTACTGTACAAGTGTCAAAAATATCTGACATTTCCCATCGCTGATCCACCAAATGATGATGTTGATGGATGTGTGTTAAAAATGGTTTTCCACAGATGGGTGAGGAGTCCAGATACTGTGGTGTAAATAGCCCTGGAGAACATGGTTTTTGGATCTGTGATGATGAGTCTCATGGCATTCAGAGCTACACTGGTTCAAATACAAAAAGCAAAAATTCTCAGATTCCGAACTGAAAAGAAAAAGGCGAGCGAGACGAGAGAAGAGATCACCCTTACAGGATGCTTGAGGTTTCCTTCTTTCTTTTTTTTTTCTCGATTTCCTCTTTCTCTCGGAGTAATGCAACAGTCTGCTCTGTGGGGTGACGCTGCTTCCAGCCTGGAGTTGCATCTTGGTGGTTTTTTGTGAATGTCGATGAGGTTTGATAACAGTGTCTTCTCTACGTTTTTATTCCACGACTAAATGTGTGTGTATGTCTGTCTGTGTGTGTGTGTACTAGCAGCTGCAGTGACCGTAAAGCCAACCGACTCGCCGGTGATGCTTGAATTTTCTGTGCATTACTACTGAACCCAACACATTTGGGCTCAGTAAGTGTCCTCATCAGGCTTAAGCCCACATGTCTTTCAATTTTCTTCGTGGAATCAGCCGAGACAGGGCCGGGTGGGGCCCATGCTCTGGGCCAATAGGAAAGCTTGTACCACCTCCTGGGTCTGCTGGGGCGTAGTGTTGACGTCCTCCAGGGCGTCTGCCACGGCAAACTGCCGGTCCCTCAGCCTGTTCCAGTTGGACAGTACGTTGTGGTATTCAAACACCTTCTCGTAGTTTCCCACTGAGTTGTAGAGTTTGATCAGGCCTCTGTAGTCGTACTCCAGCCCACTGTAGCCCTCTCCAAACAGCTTCTTACCTGTGACAGAACAGGAGAAATGGTAAATGGACTTCCTTTATACAGCTCGTTTCTAATAGAAGTGCTTAAGCAACACATGTCAGCATTCAGAGGCAGAAGCTTCCATACAAGGACAGCAGGGATAAAGCACATCATGAAAGAGTGAGAAGTATTTGGGCACTTAGAACAAAATAAAAGCTCTTAAGTCATTCAAAAATCATCCAAAACGAAGACGTACAAAATGTTCATCATTGGTTGGACTAGTATTTAAAGAGGATATATTATGCAAATATTCAGGTTCATATTTGTATTTTGTGCCTCTCAAAATAATCATAAATAATTATTAACAATCCATCAATTATTAGTAACACACTTCTACCGCAAATAAAGACTAGTTTATAACAAACTTAGTCCTCGTCGGGAATAACCTTAAAGGGGCCCTATTATGCTGATGTTCAGGTTCATATTTGTATGTAGTGTCTCTACTGTGACATGTCTCCATGCTTTAATGTTCAAAAAGCTCTATATTTTTCTCATACTGCCTGTGCTGCAGCACCTCTTTTCACCCTCTGTCTGAAACCAGAGCCCAGTCTGCTCTGATTGGTTAGCTGGCCAGCTCTGTTGTGACTGGTCAACTGCTTAGAGCTGTCCCGCCCCTTAGCCTATCACTAACAATGTGTTGAAGCGTTAGCCAATAGATGCATGACTGTTACATAGTGATGTCATTATGTTACAGAAGTGAACTCAGGAGTCGGATAGAGGCGTTTTCAGGCGGCAGGGGGGGACTTAAGCCTTTACAGACCATGTACATGCATAACCTATATAACACACCCCAAAAAGAAAGGAAAACCCCAAAAAGCATGCACCCCCTCCCTGTCTGACCGATAGCGATGGAGCGCAGGTAGAGCCGCTCTGCGTCGTCGTACTGGTTCATGTCGTAGTTGTAGAGGGAGGCCAGGTGACCCACAGACAGAGCCACTTCGTAGTCCTCATGGCCCAGAAGCTGCTCCTTGATCTGGATGGCTTTGATGTGCATCTCTTCCGCCTCCTGATTACATGAATGAGAACACACCTTCTGTGAGTTTTCCACAGTCATATCTTAAAGGGGACCTATCATGCAAAAAGCACTTTTGTACATCTTTTATACATGAATATGTGTCCCCGGTGTTCCAGGGAACTCACCAAGTGTCAGAAAACACAACCCTCTCTATTTTCCTCCATACCCAAATCTCTAAAAAAGGGGCTGCAACGGATCTGATCAAAACTGATCCAGATTTGAACACTGTCCTGACGTCAGGACGGTGGCGCTACGGCTATTGGGCCAACTCTCCACCTATCAGGGGAATGTGGGGTTGGGCCACGGCCGGCCATTGCCGCTCGAAAGCGCTGGAGACGCTGTAGTACATATGCCAGGCCTGTAAGTGGCGCTGTAGTCTGCCACAAAAGCAGCGAAGAAGACTTCCCGCCCATAGTTACCCTTCTGTTTATTCTCCGCTGTGGTTTTTTTTCTCCCTCCCAGAGGCAAGCGTTTGCTCCCGCTGCAAACGCTTGCCTCGTTCCCCTCGTTCCTTGGAAGAGGCGGAGAGGTGGGTGTTTGTCATCTGCTGGTGGACTAACCGGAGAGAATTACAGTGCTTGCCTCGACGGGGAGGGATTGCATTGAGCATGCTCAACCGTGCGGCAGAGTTTCAGTTTCAGTTTCTTTCGCCGGTCAAGATGTCCGTTAAAGTTTAAATCTTCCGGACAAAATTAGAAAAGTGCCGGTCAAAGGTCTTCTTTGTTATTTATTGAGCTTTAAAACAAATGAATAACGACTCTATATAATAAAACACGGAGGACGGAGATCTCTTTTTCTCCCCCTCTTCTGACAGCCCAGCAGCTGATCAGAGCACGTCTCACCTCTCCTGCAGGGGGGCGTGGTCAGCAGAATCAGACCCGTAGACAGCAAACAGCACATAGAGCGAAATGAGGCATGGCTAAAATGCATGATCTGTTTGGTATTTTGAAAACAGAAACGTATAAATATACCTTATATAGGTATGGCCCTACAATATATCATTTAAATATAGTATGATAGGTCCACTTTAAAACAAAACCCATATTGAAATTCAAACAGGTTTTGATTCCTTTAATCATACTTCCTTTTAATTGTGGCATTTCAAAGATCATTTTCAATGTAAATTATGGGGGATGACATTCTCAGTACTTGTAATGTGCAACAAGGATTTCCACGATTTGTCTAAAACCGATATTTCGTCATCCAAATGTGTCCATTATGTATTCCAAAGTTGGTTATAGCACATAATTCACTCTTTTCTAACTATCCTTCAATTGTAGCTCAACAGGAAAACACGAATGGGTAATTTTATACAGAAGACTGTCACTTTGCTTCCTAGCGAAAAGGCTAATCTGTGAGCTTGATAACGCCCCTTGAAAAATCAGAAATTAGAAGTTATAACTTATATATATTTGTGAATTGATCTTAAGATTTGAGGCTAGTTACGTTGAGTTCAGTTGCTTAAGCCTCGAATTAACTTCAGATTAAGCTTAAGATGTATTCTTTACACAAACAATATATAGAGTTTAGAAGATATTGCACATAGTAGGCCAATATACAGTAACTGTTTCAGCTGTATGGTGTGTAGTGGCAGTGTGAGGCTCTTGCATTATATATTAGATTAGCATTATTTTTGCATTAAATACCAAGAAAGACAAGAACCTATTTTCAGTTAGTTTCATGTTAACTTAATAATGAATTGTTCTATGCACACGTTCCTCCTACCTTGAACTTCCTCATGGACTGGTAGAGTCGTCCCAGGTTGCCGTAGTGTTTGGCGGTCTGGACGTTGAACTCTCCAAAGGCCTTCTTGGCCAGCTGCAGGGAGGACAGGTGAAGGTCATGAGCCTCTTGAAGGAGGCGCTCCTCTGTCTCCTTATTGTGGCAGTCGATGGCGATTTCCTCCAGAATCAGAGCTGAGGGAAAAAGAAGATGAGGAAGCAGAGATCAGACTTCTGCCCAGGGTTAAACAGCGGAGCCACAGTGTCGTGTTAGGGTTTGGTGCGCAAAGTTCATTTCAGATTTATCATCCTTTTATTGTTCTCATTCGCTTTTAAGCGGCAACTAAGGAGGTCACGAGAACCAGTAATACCAGTACAAAGTTTTTAAACATTGCTATATGTTTTTCAAACAAAAGTAATAAAGTAGTTTTCCAAAGCAAGTATGTTGGGAGGACTTGAGACGGCGCATTGGCTACTGACTTAAAACTTGTTAAATGGGCTAAGGTTAAGTATATAATTATCCTAATAATGTGTTCAAATGTTATCTTTTTGTCTCTTAAGTTGACAGTCAGAGCAATATTGAATAGATATTGGAAAGGAACTTGTGACCTTAACTTTCTTCCAAAAAGCAATATTAAAATATAATAAAGGAGTTTATGTTGAATAACAATTCCTTTTACTGTGTTTCGGAATCGTGGAATTTCACCTCATTTGTTTTGACATCAAAATGTCTGGTATTGTGACATTCATGGTATTTACTCAATACGCACGCCAAATCATCTGGCCCAGCCGAGGAAAACATGTTTATCAATGAGAGAACTTTGTTTGATTATGTTAAAGTGAACTGTGGAATAAGTGAACTAAAATAATTCAGAATAAACTATCAAGCAATATCTCCGTGGTGATGACAGTCACTGGACTGCATGCATAGTCCGCATTCAAACTAATTCAATGGCTGACTCATGGCCCCCTCAGAGCTTATTTATTGTTGACCATTCAACTGATAAAAAGAGATATTTTGTAACAATGACTCACTACTTTTAGATGTAGTTTTATTTGATTCTTTGAAGAATTGTTTAAATAAAAAATTAAATCTGTATAGTTAAACATTTTTTAAATTTGACGAAAAAGCATCTCATGATCCTCTCCTGCCATTCGCCTCTCTAACCTTCAGCACAGTGGGCAGAGGGCCAGCATGTCTGCGTAACTTGCTTTACCTTTGACTCTTTTGGAGGAGGCCAGCAGCAGATGGTCCTCGGGAAGAATGTGAGTTATGATGTCTATGGCAAGTTCTGCATGAAATCTGAGAGACAAAACATGTCGACAGGCAACTCAGATTTGGCTGGATTCAGGATAAACACTTCCAAGAAAGTCAAGTATTTCCCCTGATGGAAGTTGTTTGGAACCTTAAACCAGGGTTAGAGAGGTCAAAGCCTTACCCAACAGGGCCTTTGGAAACAAGATAGTGTACTAGCATCAATTAAGAAATACAAGAAAAAGACCACTATCCATGCCATTTTGACATCATCTTTGCTACAGGGTTTCCACTAGGATTTTTTCTTGCCGGTCAAATGTCCAGAAAGAATTTATTTTACCGGACAAATTTGAAACTTACCGGTTATGTTTCAATAATAATAATAATAAGAATTGTGTAGCAGAGTTTCCGTTAGCAGGTAATTACCGGACTATGACCGGATATGCTGATGTTTAAAACTCAGTTAATGGGGCTCATTTTTATATTGCTTCAGTTTATAATCGTAACAGATCGAAAAGTTCAGATTCATTTTTCAATAAATGATGCGCTTCCACAAACAACATAATTATTACATTCAAACAAACTACTTGTAGTAGATGAAGTACATTATTCAAAAGTTTACATTAACTTTGGATAATAACACGGGAGAAACGGATCCTCTCTTTTCCTCCCTCTCTCTCTCCCTCTCTCTCTCTCTCTCTCTCTCCCTCCCTCTCTCTCTCTCCTGACAGCCCGTCAGTTTCTCATGCAGCTCGCTAAACAGTGGGCGGGGCTTCAGGTGATCAGAGCTGCGTGTCTCCGTCAGACCCAGCAGCTGATCTCTGATCTCTCTCTCTCGTCCGGTTATACTTCACTCGCGCTTATGTCCGTATCGATCAGATCCAGCTCTCCTGATCGGCCTTCATAGAGAGCACCGATCAAACTATTAAGAGTGAATATCGGCCGATAATGATCGGCGGCCAATCGGTCGGAGCATCCCTAATTATTACCGGACATTTTGACCGGCAGGTTTTGAATTTACCGGTTTTTAATACATTTTCCCAGCTAAAAACCGGTAATTACCGGCTAACGGAAACCCTGCTTTGTTACACCCCACATTCAAATGATCATTGCTTTTTAATATACACAATGATGGCACTTGCCAAAGCATGAAGCAACACAACATACATCCGTACAGTGAGTTTAAAACAGAGCAGCACAGTATGTGTAATGCCAAAGTGCTACATTTCTAAGGGAGCTAATGTCTAATGTAATGAGCTGGCTGGTTTAGAAACAGTCGTGAGATTGTAAGATTTATTGTACTCACAGTGCTTTGTCAAATTTCCCAGAGCTATACTGGTGCACATATGAGGAGTAGGCGAGGTCTTCATGGGCGGTGGCAACGTGGATGTTCTTCCCCCCGAACACAGACTGTCGGATGTCCAGTGCCGTCTGGGATTTGCACAAAAAGAAAGGGCATTTATTAAATATAGATAATACGCAAACATGCACACATTCATGTTGCTAATCCTTCCACGTACCTGGTATATAGCAACTGATTGGCATATGTTGTCTACGTTTAATAAGTAAAATCCGTAATCTAGAAGCGTGTCGGAGTATTTGGGGTGCTTGTGGCCAAAATGTTCTCTGCAGGACACAAAACATTCAGTCAGAATCAATGATAACAAATGAAAATAATAATGTTTAGGCTTTAGAGGACGCAGCAGGTTACCTCGCTAAAAACACTGCATGTTTGATCAGCTGCTCGGCTTTCCTGAACTCTCTCTTCACCACACAGGCCTGCAGCGGAAAGACAAACGGCACACTATGAAGAAAGCTGCTCTCTCGATACTTTCTGCAAAAACACAGCAACCCAAATACTAACTCAATAGAAACTTGTAATCTAAATAAACACAACAAACCTTAGAAGCTTGCCGGAGGACATCAACCACTACTTTGACAGGCAGCCCTGGAGTGATTTCCTTCATGGCCTCTATACACCACCGGTATGCCTGGAAAAATCAGGAAAAACATATAGTAAGTCAGTTGAAATCATTAAACTGACACTATGAAACATTTCCTTTAGTGTCAATAATATAAGGGCTGCACAACTAATTGTCATTTTATTTATATATCGAAATGGCAATATGGGTATATGTGTGTGTGTGGGAGAGAAACTCCCTCGGTAGGGAACACAGGGATTTTAGCCTTTGCAAACCATTTACATGCACAACAAAATATATAACACACTACAGGAAAGGGACAACCCCAAAAAGCACAATAGGGCCTCTTTAGGTATTGTGGTGCTGCAGAGATATCCTAGACTACAACAGTATTCTGCAGGTTTAATACATTCAAATGAATTCATAAATAAAAAATCAGTGTCCTAAAAAATACTCCTTTTCGAAAAACTAGAAACTCTAAAACCACTTAAAAATATATTATTTTAATGTATTTTCAATTATACTGTTTCCTTAAATAATGCTTATTATATCGAAATACCAAAAACAGTCAATATAATCACATTAAGTAATTTCTTTCCAAATTGTGCAGCTCTAAATGATACATAATATAGATAATACAAATTGTTCAGTCACTGGTGTTCAGACCTACCTCATCATAGTGGCTTTTGGCGAAGAGCAAGGCACACAGCTCGCCGTACAGCGCTGCCTTGTTGGCCTGGTGGCCATGTTTGGCGAGTTTGTCCATGTAGGATTGAGCGAGCTTGAAGGTCTCCTCCCCCAGGTGGTACTTACAGTTGCCATTACGGACATGAAGGAGCCTGTGTAGACAACAGAGGAAACGTTAATAACAATCTCAGGTGTGACTGTCCAACCACCGATACAGAACAACCATTTTTTAGGAGACACTAGCCTCGTCTCAATACCCCTCCTCGACTCCTCCTTTCCCTCACTCGCGTCCCTTCCTTGCGTCTTAGCTCCGCCTCCGTAAGATGCGTGCGAGAGACACGAGGAGGTGACGCGAGGACAGAGGAGTCCTCAGGTATTAATTGGGATGTCCTCGTTCACTCAAACGTCACTCTTAAACGACGTCTGTTAATGATGACATGTGCACAGCTGTATCCCCTCTCATCGGGCTTAACTGAAAAACCCTTTAGAACAGGCCCATTTGTTGTTAAATATTTATTTAAATGAATGAATCTTTCTCTTGTTAGTCAAGGAATTCAATGTCTGATGGTTGGTCCTGCTTTTGTGTTCCGTTTTGGTGTAAAATGTACATTTCAATTCAATTATAATTATAATAATGTGAAAGCCTTTACTCTGAACATGTGTGTCCTGTAGATCCCCACATTCACCACAAACCCACATTCAGGACTGTGCATTTTAAATAATTTAACTACAGAATATTTTAACACAAAACAAAACAAATAATAGTTATTTATCAAGATCTAGCCATTTATGAAATCGCTTTCTTAATAGCTATGTTTTAGTGACGTTCAAGATCATTAAACATGACTTAAATTGTTAGTATAACCTTAAGAAATGAATTGCACATAAGAATTCCCACGGAGCTGTGAGCACTTATACATTTATGTGACGCTTTTCCACTCATTCTTCCAGTTCTCCGTTTTCCTGTGTTGAAATCGACCAGCTGTGAAGGTGGGGGCGGGGCTTTTATACGCGAGTAGTGAAAACACTTCCGCGTAGTCTGCTCTCGTGTATCCTCCCTTTCGTCTCCTCCCTCACCCCTCCTCGACTCCTCCGTGTGCATTTCAGCTATTGGGACGTCCTTCAACATGGCGTGTCTTGATCGATTTCCGGGTCAAATCCCGGAGGAGGGGAAGAGAGGAGTCGAGGAGGGGTATTGAGACGAGCCTACTAACTTTCTGTCAGTGATCAAAAAATATATTTTTTTGTGGTAATGGCATTATTTAAAAGGTTACGCTCAAACTCTTTTTACTTTATTTGGAATGTAATGGTGCGTTCACAACGGACGTGTTAACATGTGTTGGCGTGGGTACGTATAAGGTCAATGCAAAGATAGAAGCATTCACGACGGGTGAAGCAAATAATGCTAATTCTTAATGCTAGCTTGTAAAAGCCAATCAGCGGTGAGATTCTCCTCCGTTTTCACTGACATACTGATGGGTTGTTGGATATGGGCAATGGCAGCCAGGGCTCTACAGAACCTTACATTTGTACAGAAACCGGGCGAAATTGATGCTTATAAATGTATGTGTACAAACAATTCACTTTCTATGGTATAACAGATAAAATAGCTACTCCTTTTTCACATGCCATTATTTTGAGTGTGGATGAACTACAACGGTAGCTTAGATTAGCCTGATCATTCCAATGTCCATTCAGAAAACAAGCATTTTAAAAGTGTCTTGACTGCAGGCACACCTGGCCAAAGCATTAATAAAGAGTTTTTACTCATTTGTTTCATCATGTAGATTATTCGGCATCCTTTTGATATTTTTAGTGCAATTAAAACATGGCAAAATGTGTTAATTTTGGGTTCATAAGACTGTATTAAACACGATTTACGAACATATTGCATATTTCTTCTGCATTATTGATTTGGTGTCATGACATGAGACCATTACAATTTCAAGCACACAAAAAAAACAATTCCGTCAACTCTGGCGACCATAGGTTTTTTCACACTGACCTGACACAGCATTCTACAGCCCTGAAGCAGTGGAGGACTTCACTCTGGAGCGTGCACAGCTGCAGGCACGACAAAAACACTTTCTCTGCATCTCCATACCAGCCAGCATCCGACAAGAAGCCACCTAAAAACAAAATATATCAGATTAATAGAGCTGTCTAGGAAAATAACCAATAAATCCAATAAAATTGGATTGGTCATAGTGGGTTTATTGATGAAATAGTGACGTCCAAGTGTGTTGATGAGCAAAATGGAGATAGCTGACAGCAAACAGCATGTTTCAAGGAGATTTGCGCTCCAGGGCAAACAAGCCACATTTGTCTGCTTTTAGGACCGATAAAGATAATATAAATGTTAGCGTTTTTATCGGATTTTAAAAGGACTCTTTTACATTACGTGTCATTTGTTAGACGCTTTTATCCAAAGCGACTTACATACATTCAGTACTGTGGACAATCCCCACAGGAGCAATTTGGGGTGAAGTGTCTTGCCCAGGGACACAACGACATGCTGACTGCAGTGGGACTCGAACATGCTATCCCCTGATTCGAAGTCCAGCACACTATCCACTGAGCCACAGCCTGTTACCTTTGGTACTTGTGTTACCTACTGTACCTGCAGTACTGTAGAACAACCAGTACCAGCATGTTTTCAAAGTTTGGGCATTGACTTGGTGTGGAAATAACGGTTCTTGTGCCATCCCTAATCTATTCTACTTAATAGTACATCCATAGTAGTATTATATGTGTTATAATAAGACCATTTTAGCTATTTTAAATAATTATGAAATGCTGGCTAAGATTTGGCCCAACTCTCATCCCTAATTTTTTTCCAATGAGCTAACCCTACGATAATATCAGTGTGAGGAACAAATGGCCCATTCACTCATTATTGAGAGATAAAGGAACAGTTGTGTGAAAATGTTTTCCCATACCGAGCACAAAGCCGAACTGGATGGCCTTCTCTTTGACATGGGCGTCAGACTCTGCGATGTAGGAGCAGCGGCGGCTGAAGGAGTTCGCCAGAACCGAGGCCACTTTCACACCGTGGTCCATTAGCGCTTGAAAGCAGTGGTGCAGGAGGTGTCTGCAGTGGGTAGGACAAAGAGATGGAACATGTCAGAGAAAGGCATAACTCTTAAGGTAATGGTTTTACATATAAGCTTTTACTAATACAAAAACTCAGTAGTTTAAACGTCACAACACCTTGCTAATCAGTGAATAACATAGCTTCTACTATCGTTTTCTCATTAAGGCCATCAACCAAGGATAAAAGCAACAACACACAAATAACATTGTAGAAAGAACATCAATAATGTACCTTAATCTAAGGAGTTTCATTTTACCAAGCAGAGGGTTAGAAGCATTCGCCTAATTTTCAAATCGTTTTCCTAAGGTGAAGTTTAAATGGCAATAGATGCTGATAAGGAACATAAAAGGGTATGCAGTACATTTTTGGCTTAATTATTTATATAAAACATATTTGGTGGCGGTGATTTAACTAAATAAATACATCAGGCTAAGAATATTCAACCATATTCACTATTAAATAATGCAGTTTTCAGCACATACAGCATAAACCGCTCTGATGAACAACTGTGGAAGGGACCAGTCTTCAAGCGTTTTTAAGATAACTGAAGGGTCTATGTTTCAACTTTTTTGGCACCTCTTACTTAGTCCCATGATTTTCTCACCTTTTGTCTGAAGCTCGCAGTACTTTAGCAAACACCTCCAGCTCACAGAACTCTCCTCCCAGCTGGCAGAGCCGGCCCTGCTGGTAAAGCTGAAAGACACAGACATACAGATTGAGGAATAAGGTGGTTCACTCACTGACAAAAGTTCAGATGTCAACTCTTCCATTAGCTGCAAAATGATGAGTCTAAAGTTAATAACTGTTTGGAATACTAATGTGCAGAAAAACTGAGAGATCTGTAACTACAATGTTGAAGTTTCTGTCTAACTTTTCACTCTAAGCATATTTTATGCAGCCTGTACGTTCCATATGATAGTTACGGAAACTAAATGAGCGGACAGAGTTGCTCCGCTGCTTAGTTGGCACCCGAGGTAGTCACAGATATGAGCCAATGTCTGATTATAAGGAAAAGCCAGAACAGCTGGGTACACGCAAACACACAATAGACACCTTGGTTGTGTTAAAAAGCAAAGTCTTCGTATGTGTGACCAGCAGTGTGATGGCATCTCTGTGTCAAAGTTCTCTGGTCTCTATTACGGGTGTATTTTAGGGGATGCTTTAGAAAATGCTCTCTGCTGATCAGGAGTTTAAACAAAAAGATTGCTGATGTCTAGCCTGTTATCACAATGCACTGAGTTGGAACTAGATATATTCTGTGGCTCTGTGTGCTGGGGTCTATCTGGGGACACAGCTAGTTTCAGTAGTGTGTCTACATAAGAGTCATATGAGATTATGTGGAACATTTTTTAATTTAGCCCAATCCACAGATAAAGTCATACTGCTTTACAAGCAGCCAATTTATCAAGGAAGGTAATTTGTTCTCCATATCATGTTAACCGGTTTTTAATAACCACGTTTGTGGCATAAAACAATATAAGGGTGAAACAGTATACCCTTAAGTGGGTTTCAGAGCATTTAAAACAATACAACTAGTATATTTATCATATCCAATGTATATCTGTCAAAAATGGTTTCCAATTTCTCCATTAATGCCCTGACAAACTAAGCGATGGCCGGCTGGTGGCCGACATCAGGCTATCGTTTTCCAGCCCTGCCGGCATTAGTCTGCACATTTTTCACTGTTTCAGCATGTTGAATCTGCAGTGGAGCCCATCAGTGAGTGGAATGACTCGGTTTGGCTGTTCAACTTCAGGGAATCGGTGCATGAGAAGAGTAACAGAAAACAACTTAAGTCAAGAGGGCCCACATATGGGCTTTTTTAAATGTTTGTCTTCATCTCATCTGATCATTCCAATACTTGGACATTTAGGGTGTGTCTGTGCGTTAAACAAGGAACACATGTCAAACAGGACTAGACAGAGTGCTAGATTTGAAGGGATGACAGAAAGCGACTGTTTAGAAAATGTGAGTGTCTGAGCAAGAGAAAGGGAGTTTGTGAAAGGGAGGGAGTATAAACAAAAACTTAACTAGCAGTGTCAACTACAGTCTACATATGGTGACAGAACTATCACACAAATGGGTCAAATGTAGGTCAGAAACACTTGCAAAACAGCTGCAATGTTGTTTAAAACATGTTGTTGTCTCCAAGTAAACCAGAGGTTTCACAGTAAAAAGTACATTCTTTAAATAGTGCATGTTTATATAGCCTTTAAAAAAATGTCCCCCTGTAGATGTCTAATACATTTTCTATGTGATGACTTTGTGTACATATTTTAACTTTATGACTTTCAGAATCCATCAAAAGTATAACCTTGAAGTGAGGGTGAGGGTTATTATAGATAAATACTAAGTGGTTTGTAAAATGTCTACTGAACTTTACCTTACTAATTTATTTTTGACGTTTTATATATTGGGTTCCATCAGTTAATAATGGATACATCACTAAATAACCAAGAAATATTATATTTTCAGTTTTGTTAATAGGTGTGGAGAGGAGGAAAATGTGATTCTGCCCTTCAGCTGTCTGAAAGATTTGATTCAGTCAGCTGTCAAAATATCCTCTTTTTTTTCGTTTTGTTGCTGCTGCCAACATCTTTTTTTATTTGTTAATGGTGCCATCACATGACAGTGCCAATGGCATTAGTTCATAAACAGTTTGATGTCAGCAGTCAATTCTGGATCAACAATTAACAGAGGTGGAAGAAGTACTCATATCTTTTACTATACTTAGTTTACCAAAAGTAAAAGCCAGCAATATGCAGATTGGCACATTCAGAAAAATATATATTATGTTTTGATTATAATTATCGATGCATTAAAGTGTTATCAAAGCTGGGAAAGGAGCAGCCCATTTGAATGACTGTGTATACTGCAGGGTAGCTTGTGAATTTATTCCAGGTGTAACTCAAATCAAATGTAATTGTTGATTATATTTCACATCATTAATCCAAATCTGCAACATAACCAAAAGGTATTAGATTAATGTTGTGGAGTAAAAGTACACGATAAACCTCTGAATTGTAGTGGGGAAGAAGTACAAAGTAGCAAAACTTTCATAAGTCCCTCACAATTGTACTTAATTACAGTCCTTGAGTAGATCTACTTAAAATACACGTTTTGGTGCCTGGTTAAGGACCTGAATACGATAATGTCGTTTTTAAATCCTCAATTTCAATGTGGCATTTAATTAAATGTCGTAGGGGCCAAAATCATGGTTTTGTTGCTGTTTAGAGGTTGTTGTCTGTGGCAAATTCATATCTGACCTGAACAGACTGAGATATATTGTAACAACTGACGCTGTGTTTTTCCAGTACATTATTTATGGTTTTGTTGTGGTCCACATTCATTTTTAACCAACTTTTATCTTTTATATGTACATGACAACATTGCCACAATTCATGTATGGTTACAGGATGGCTCGCTGGTGTCATAAACTAGCTACAGGATCAATGGCGTTCATGGCTTCATTGTCAACAACGTTTATCATACAGATATTCATACGAGATATACTGTATTTTTGGACATTGTAAGGCTGAGTAAGCTAACGGTTAACATTAGTTCGCCTAACCAACGAAAACATATTGTCCCTTCTGCAGAAACTAGGGTAACTCTATCGTAATGTAACGTAAGCTAACGTAAGTAGCAATGGTAGCTGCCGTTTGGACAAACTCGTACAGCCTGTACGAGTGTGGGGTGTCATATGCCTAAGCCTCTTTGTAAATCTTAACGTACCTTATAATATACATCGAACTGTATATTTTCTGGGAGCGACCGTATGTCCCTTCTTGACCGGCTGTAGTTGTCCACCACAGCCGAGATTGCCGTGTTGTACAGTGTTTCTGGGATCCATTCGAGCTCCACCGCAGCCATGTTGTTTTCCCTCTCCAAAAAAAACCAGCAGCTACAGCCCTCCCCAGCTCTCCCTACATTCGCTACCTCACTGCGATTAAAGCACTTTCTCCAAGGGTCCTCATATAACATTCGCTTTAAAGCGAGGCTCCAAATAATTGTTCTATTATCAATTTACCGCTACAATTCTAAAACCGCTGGTTTATTTTCCATCTTCTTCATCTCCAATTATTCGTCGACCCTACAGCAGCTCCCTGCGTTTCGTGCCCCCCCGTCCCGACGCACACTCACCGGCGTTGACGCAGTGACGTAATTGTGCCGTCGATGCAAAGAAAGCATATTTGCACAATTTAGTAATTTGGAGATGGAAGAAGTACTCAGTCAGATATGAAGTAAAATAAAAAAATATGATCATAAAAATATACACAAAGGAAAAGCATTTATCATGCAGTAGGCCTATGGCCCATTTCAGACTCATACATGATATTGTTGTATTGTAATTATTGATGCATAATGTTAATCACTTTAATGTTGCTCTTGGTAAAGCTGGAGTTTATTTAAATTACTTTATATTCTTCCAGGTATCTTAATGATTAATTAGTGGATTTATACTTTGTAGTCTGATGGCTCAGTCCTTTCGAGACTACAAACTGGATTGTATAATTTGATTTCATATTGTCAACATTGTGTATTTTAGTTTTTTTGACGGGTTTTATTTTTGATTCAATTCATTGGTGACATGCCTATACAAAATTAGTATCTTTGTGATACAATTACTGCCGAAAAATGTTGAGCCTCTCAATCTTCATTTCTGGACCGCGGTGAAGTTAGTTTTAGGTTGGATAATCGACAGACATTCGCGGACCAGCCAGCAGCGTGGTCCGTCTGCGTCGCGTTACGGCCGCGTTATGGCTGCGCCGCGGCGTTCGCAGAGATCGCGGCCACTCTAGTCAATGGGTGCTATTCCACCAGACGTGCCGCATTACGGCTCAGAAGCGTCCCAGAAGCGTCTCGGCGCTGGGCTCCGCTCAAAATAGGATTCAAGTCTATTTTTCGACGCGACATGAGGCGTTGCCGAGGCGCCGGGCAGGAAGTGGACCGGTCAGAGCATCCGGCCCATCCCCAAAATAAACTAATTTAGCAGACTCTGGGGGTGTTTCCCAAATCGCGAGTAAAGCTGCTGCAGAGCCACTATTTCAAGCATCGAGTGCCGCCGAAGTACTGTTCCAATCTCCAGCATACTTGGAAATCTACCGAGCCCGGCGTACTCCGTTTGGAGAAATATCGAGGCTGCACATGAGTAGACTCCGCGGTCTTAAAATCCCCACAATGCTTTGCGCACGGACCAATTTCCCCAAATCTGTGGCGGAAGATGTAAGGCGGGGCCTCTCATATAGAGTGGCGAAGTCACGCCCACCTACTTCCGGGTAATGGGACCTTATTTCGGAAAAATTATGCATTGAAGTCAATGGGGAGAGAAAACGTATCTTTCGATCCCGTTTGAATTGTGCCATGAATTACACATATGATGTTTGTCAATCTTAAAAAATAATTTCCATGTCAAAAAAGTCACAGTTTGTCGTAAAACTGTTGAAATATAAGACTATGAAAAATACGTAACTAGAAAGACTACAAATCCCAGAGTCGCGTAAGTGATGTCACAATTGTTTTCCTCCACCATTCAGATACCTAAGATCAGCGCAATATAGATATAATCTATCTATATGGCGCTGGCTAAGATAAGATAACTTTAACAAGATGCCTGTGTGCTTAGTACCAGGTTGTTATTATACCAGCAATGGGTCTTGCTCATTCTTTTGCTTCCCGTCTGATGAAAGGACCAGGAGTGGCTTGATCAAGTTAGCTACCTAGCTAGTAGCTAGCACGTTAGTTAGCATTACAGCCTTGTCATTTTTATTAGCCTTAACATGAAGTAACATTAAGTAACCCAAAATGTTAAACAGTAAGAGTAGTAGTCATATTTCGTGAACCCTTTGAATAGTACTGTCACCGGTGTGATCATTCTATAATACACCATTTAAGCCCGGGGGAGAAATGCTAACGCTAACGTTAGCATCGGCGATCTTCTCTACGTCATGCTATCTGCACAAATGGTTGACATTAAACATTAAAACGACCAGGCAGTTCAGAGAGAATCAAAGGAAGGCAGGCAGGCAGCTTTGCATGACATTCTTCAGGACGTGTTTCATTGTGGTGATAGTGAGGATAGTCAATCGTTTTGTTGACAAGACAGTAGTGACGGCCATCTTGGTGACGTGTGTTGTTGACCAGAGATGTAGTTCATTGAGCGTTTCACACAAACAAATGTGTTACTTCACAGTTTTACGACACAAAATTATCTTTTAAATTGACAAACATCATATGTGTAATTCGTGGCACAATTCAAACGGGATCGAAAGATAATCTTTCTCTCTCCATTGACTTCAATACATAATTTTTCCGAAATAAGGTCCCATGGAGGTCCACCGGAAGGGGAGGGACTTCACCACTCTATAACGCACACCTGCACACTTGCTAGCGTGTTCCACTCTTCGTTTTCCGAATGCCAAGTATTCTTGCCTCGCTTCTGGAGCAAGATGCTCGGCAGACATGTGCTACCAAGCAAGCGTACTCGCGATTGAGAAACACCCCCTATCCCTCCGTAGTCTTCAAGTAGGAGGAGAAATGCCAGCGTTCTCGGCGGGTGGCGGCGGCGAATAATTGATTAATATTCGCCAGGGCTGTCCGATTTTCGAATTTGATCATGGTCAGTTTCTGGCATCCCTAGTTACGGCCGCGTTACGGCCGTGTTACGGCTGCGCTGCAGCGTTCATCGATCGAATATTGGCTTTCCATACAGCCGTGACGCGACGCAGACGGACCCGGTGGAATCGAGGGGCACAGCGCACTGCGGGTGTAGTAGCCTATAGTGAGTGTAGCGTGCAATACTGTGTTACACCACACATTAATTAAGAGGGGCGCTGTTTTAGTCTTTGTAAAATACTCACTGACAACAGCGGAGAGATGTTTTTTAAAGGTCCCATGTCATGGCCATTTCTACTGATCATATTTCCATTGTTGAGGTCTACTGGAATAGATTTAAATTGTGCAATTTTCCAAAATCACATTGGTTTCTCAGCATCTCTGTATAGTATGTGTATTCACCAGGTGTTCACTCTCTGTCCTAAACGGCTTGTTGGAGCTCCTGCCCCCCCCTCCCTGTGAGCCCAGTGTGCTCTGATTGGTCGGGACGTTGCGAGGCTCGTTGCTGCTCGCCGCTGCTGCGAACTGCTGCGAGGAGCGGACAGGTTTCCGGGTCGGCGATACAGCGAGAACAAGCAAAACTCATCCTGAGCACACACAAACACTCACAGCCGAAGTAAAAACAATAAGAGTGGCTTGATATTGAGTAAGAAAAAGGTTTATAACGCTGTGAGAATGGGTCTGCGGAGAGCATTTCTCCGCAATCCCAACTCGTCTATTACCAGCGTTCAGGGAGCTCTATACAAGTCAATGGGGACTCCCTGTTAAGGCCCGGACACACCAATCCGATTTTGGCCGTCGATGAGCGTCGACACGCCCTACTCAGATTGGTGTGTCCCGCACCGTTGTGTCTTTTCAGCCGTGCCGACACCTTTTCGGCCAAAGGCTGTCGGCAAAATAAATCACTCTGATTGGCTGTTCAGCTTAGCGAATCAGTGCATGAGAAGTGAAACGGAGGTGAGGGACCCAAACAAACTATTAAGAAGGCAAATCTGAGATTTCATTTAACTCCAGCTCTCGACAAAGGTTCGGGAAAGCCCCATGAGCTTCTCGTTGTAGAGTGAAAATGGAACGCACACGCTATTTGTTGTTTGTTTATATCACGCCGTCTGTTCTTCTTCTCTCGGTTATCACACAGTCTGTCTTCCGGTTGTTGCCTCTTTTGAATGACGAATACACACTACCGCCGCCTGCTAGTAAGGAGAGTTATTTGCCACTCACGCATGCGCAGTTCGTACGTGCTTCTTGGCCGTCGGCAGAAGTCTTTGCGGTGTGTTCCAGTGCGACACATGGCCAAGACGCAGAGACGCGAGGCAACACAACAGTCGGGGGTCCGTCTGTGTCAGTTCTTTGGTGTCAGCTTGGTGTGTCCGGGCCTTTAGTTAGCCAAGGGATCCTGGTGTGTGAGGTGCTCCGCGGATTGGTCCATTTGGGCCAATCCGGTCATTTGTTGTTGATTTGGGTGTTCACACGTCACAGAACCCAGGAAACAAACAATGGAAAATTAGAAATCTCCAAAGAGGCGTTTTGGGGCAGCATAGACAGGTCTTTTCTGTGTTAGTTTTACTCGCTATAGGGTGTACTTTGAGGGTTTTTGACTCTGCAGACCATTTATATGCATAAAAACCTTCATAACACACAAGGGGATGGGTAATAACCGGAAAAGCATGACATGGGCCCTTTAATACAAATAAAAAATATAAAGAAATACCCAGCCTCCAGAAGAAAACGCCACTGGAGTCTGAGCAGAATATCCCCTGTGCTTCTCTGGAAGTTGTCTTTATGGGTGAAGTTAATTAACTTAAAATTACCATACTGCTTATAACTTATATAAGGTGTGTATTATTTCTTAAAGGGCTGTCCATAAGGGGGAAACAGGGGAAACCCTTTCTGGAGCCAAGCTGCTTTAAGGGGCCCATGGAGACCAACAATAAGTGTTGCTGAGCGGGTTTGGGGTTGGGACACTTTTTCCCTTAATTTCATTGCCCAACCATTTCTGTTTCCGGGCCGGAAATTATTCTTGTCAATTTTTGACATTTAAAGGTGGGGTAGGTAAGTGTGAGAAACCGGCTCGAGATACACTTTTTGTTATATTCCATGGAATGCTCTTAACATCCCGATAGCAATGAATATCAAGTGCTTTGACAAAAAATCCATAAAAAAATGTCATCTGTGGAAGCCGTAGTACTGTAAAAAGCACGACCAATCATTTTAACCGGCCCGGCTAAAATAACTGGATGGCCTACCTGCCTGTCAGCCTTCCATCTGTGCACAAACTTATGTCGTGCCCTCATTGGTCATGTGCGCGTTCGTGTGTGTTGGAGGAGGGGCTCTGTAAGGAAGTGGCAGATTTTTTCCGGCTGTGCATTTTCAAATTCTAGCGCACTCGAGCTGGTTTCTCCAAAATTACCTACCCCACCTTCAAGTTATTTTATTTTGTTAATAAAGTCCCTATATTTCAAATTGAAACTGCTCTGCTTGCCAACTTTTATTTGTTGATACCATA